CGGTCCATGAGATGTAAAAAAAAATGAGGACCGTTCCTAAACAAACTAGGACCGATCCTTACAAAGAAGTAAGGACCGTTCCCATGGGTCCTAGGACCGATCCTTACAAAGAAGTGACAAAGCCAATACAAGAACACATGAGGACTTGAGAATTCAGGGCGAGGGAGAGGAACGGAGGAAAGAAGGCTCTGGTCCCATGGGTCCTGGGACGCCTGGAAACTTCAGCCAAGGATCTAGTCCATCAGAGTAAGGCTCCAGTCCACGATAAAATTTTTCTTGGACTTCCAAACCTCCACGATAGAAACCCTGGCCATAGTCTGAAATGCGATCCGCCTCCATCTGAGCCATATGTCCCTCATATGTGAGACGCTCGTTCTCGAGCGAGCGGCGGGCCTCATCAAGGGAACTCCGAGCTGAACGCCTCTCCTCCATAAGGGTCAGGTTTAGCTCGTTGACCCGTTGAGAAAGTTGACGTTCTGTTTCTTCATGTTGGAGGTGCCACCTCTGCTCGACCTCTTCCGCCGCCTTCCTCGCTTCCTCCTCGGATCGACGACGCCACGTTCGCTCCAGCTCCTCCTCTGATCTCCTTCGGTGAAGTTCTGCTTCCTCTCGAACTTGCAACTCACGCTCTCTGACCTGCCGCTCCAAGTCCCTCCTTAGGAATTCTATCTCCTTGGCATCGTGAATCCGGTTTAGGTCACGTTGCCCGACCTTGGCCGCAAGCCGCTCACGGTCCGAGTGGATCCAGTCGTTCTCGGACAAAACCCGATCATATTCCGGACGCTCAACGCAAATAGAGTGCCGAGATTTGAAATCCCGCAGCTCCTTTGATAAAGCAGCATTGCAATCCAATAAGCGAAGGGAATGGCGCTGAGCAGAGGAAGTGGCAACATAATCGGCCTGTCAAAAGAGGAAGGCAGCGAAAGTTAGCGGTCTTAAAAGGGATAAAGAAGTAAGTGAAATACTTAGAATGAAGGAGGGAAAGGACACTGACCTACGAGTGTACTCCTCCTGCATAAATGGCCAGGCCGGGCTGTGGACCACGTCAGGATGATCCCTCTTGAGTTGTTGTATTTCTTGAAGCTTGTTGTTGAAGTCCCGTCCTACCCAAGACGTGTATCCTGTGAACTGATAGGCCTCCCGGGCATAGGGAAAAGGTTGACTCCCTTGCCCAATGAGAAACCCATCATCGGCGGTCCCCATGGGAGGACCGGCGGACACCAGAGAACCGGGGAGAGGGGTGGAGTTCCGGCCCCTCTTGTGGCGGACTTGAGAAGAAGAGGAAGACCCGGACTCCTGAATTGATGGACCGGGGATGGCAGTGGGACGGGTGGAGGAGGGGACAGTGGCCTTCCCAAAACTGGAGGACCAAATCAACTCCTCCGTCTCCAAAAAAGATTGATGGATATTTGTTCCGGGGAGAGGAACGTCGCCATGACCAAAGGGAGTCCCAAAAATATTCTCCGCCGGGCAGAATTTGCAAAATTAAGGATATTGGACGTTTGGGGCTGGGAAATTGCTTCGTCCCCCCCACAGCCAAAGGAGGGGGAATATTCCCAAGGAGATTCCGTGCTGCACGGAATCCCAATCCCGGCCACCTGAACGTGAGGCGGCTCAAGGGACCCTTGCAAACCAGTGGCGCGCCCTGTCGGAAAGGGCCCACTGGTTTGGGGGTGGAAACCTAGTGGGCCCATGGGCTGAGCCGAAGAAGAAGTTCCCCTGCCAAAGAGAGGAGTGTGAGGGACGCCGGGGATAAGGCCGGACACCCTCAGGGTCCCCAGAGGGAAGTCGTAGAGGCCATCATCTTCGGAGACGTCCTCAACCACCACCTCTTCCGAAAGGGGAGGTTGGTCAGCAAGCGCCAGAGATAGGGTCCCCGTCGCGGACCCTACTTCTTCGCCCTCGGTGTCCTCCTCCGGAGAAGGATCTCTTCGAGAAGATCGCCGACGGAGTCGAGTGCTCCTGAAAGGAGGAACCCAAGAGGAAGTTGTGTCTCCCGACGGCTCTTGAGGAGGAATATCGGGAGACACCCAGAATCCGAGACCCCGAAAATACGAGTCCTTGAGGAGGAGC